CGACGCACTGAGGCCTGCGTGCGAGCTGCGGCTCCTTCCCGAGTTTTACGACGTGCTGCAGGAAAGGCTCCGGCGGCCAAACGTCACTGATCGGGACCAGCGCTGGGTGGTGGTTCTACGCAAACTATGGAACTCCACCCTCACCAAGCTCTTGAAGCAAGAACTGGCGATGAAAGAAGGGGCCGGGGCCTCGTCCGATCAGATATGGAGCCGGGCAGTTGACCCAACTTGTCGCATGTTGACTCAGAGCCGGGTGTGGTTGTAGGTGCGTGATAGCAACGTCTCCTCGAATATCCACATGGCTAATCGAAATTCACGTGCTTCATTCTCCCGTTAACCCATAGAAGCCGCCGTCCGTGGCAGCCTCGAGGCCTTCCGGCGTAAGCTGGAGAAGTTCCTGGAGCTCCCAGCTTGTCGCCGACGGCAGATCCTGTCGAAAACCGGGTTGTACGTCTACAAGGCTTCTCCTTGTAGCCGCTTCCTCGCCTTCCGTCTTCCGGCTTATGCAAGGCCAACGGGCGAAGTGTGTGAGACACATTGTCTTGCAGGAAGCGCCGGCGAGGGAATCCGAGGAATCTGACGGAGAGGAACCGGAGTTGCAGGCATCGCCGGTGCGTACACACAGAGTCAGCTTCACCTCAAAGCATTCCAGCCAGGGTCTTCGATCTTGGATTAGTTCGGGGCGCGCTGCGCAGGCTGGTCCGGGTGGAGCCGCCGTTCCGAGACATATGGAGCCTCGTCTCTACTCACTCTATTCGGTCTGTTCTTGATCTGTTAGTGCGGTCCACACACAGCAAAAAGAAAGGTGAAAGTAGAGGATGATGAGGAAGCGGGGTGGTCGATGTTACGGACACGCACATGAGATATCTTGCAGATCATCGCTTTGAGTCTCTGCCGCATGTTCTTCCTGTAGCGAGGTTGCTGCGTCCAGTGACACCGACGACGGCAGCGATAGCGACAGCTCCAGCAGCAGCAGCGATGCCGGCAGCAGCAGTAACTCGTCGAATTCGAGTGGTACCGATGATACCAGCTCTAGCGACGATGAGGAGATGGAGGACAGTTGTAACGAGGGGGGTTGGGGGGGGGCGGAACCATGGCCGGCTGGAGGTTCTACGTCATGGCCGTGTGTGTCTGCGTAGCGAGGTCTGGGGAGCGATATAAGTCTCCGTCGTGAACAGGACCTCTGGCCGGGAGGTTTCCAAGGTCAAGCCGTCACCCTTCGTGTTCGTGCTGCTTGCCATCTCAGCAGAGAGTTGCGCTGCGACATCTACGTCTGTGACTACGGACAGAGGACGAAGAAGGCTGTAGAGCTTGAGCTGGCTTTCGACTCGGAGGGTTGCTTGGCTCGCATCTGCTCATGTTCGATCCTTCAAAAAGTGGACCGGCACCGACTTATGGAGTTCCGAAGTAACTACCTGAGCCCGCAGTATGAGCGACTCTAATACTTTTAGTATCAACGATCGTGCCGGCGCCTTCTGACGGTCGCCGTTGGTATCGAAACCGGAGGGTCTAGGGAAAGCAGTGCAGTTGAGCACACGGACGTGTCGCTCCGGAGGTATAGACGTATCCCGCTGATGTTGACTGGTTCCTAAAGTTGGTGATGCTGAAGGTTGCTAGAGGGCGCTTTATTCCTGCTTTCGACAAGGCCCAGTTGGTTGCGTCTATCTCGTAGCTACTGCCGCTTCCTGTCTTTGGTGTGTGCCGGGGGGGCGGTCCGACCGCATCGGCTGCTGCGCATCCATATCTCGACCAGGTTGGCCGACCAAGTTGTATTTGCTGCTAACCCGCGAGAACGGCAAGGCCTATTACGCGGAAAAGCAGCTCTGGGAGTCACCTTCGGCCAGGTCGGCACGCTAGCGAGCTTTGTTGGGTTTTGATTTGTACTCCGGGTTTTGGCCGTGCATCTACTAAGCGTAGTGATGCTCGGACGCGGGAGGTGGCTACTTGCAGCAGCAGCGACCGTGGAGAAGGCATACAGTCGAATTGCCCTGCTGCTGACTCCTTCTGTCCTGAAGACGTTGCCGCCCTGCATCGACGTCGAAGTTATGCCGGAGGATGCCTTTCTCAACCGAGAGGCTTGCACGTAGGGTCCTGTCTAATGTGCATAGCCGCCTTCGAGTAGATGTTAGAGCCCGTTGCCGTGCATGTTCTCTGTGGCAGTTGGACGTCCAGTTCAAAGACGGCCAAGCTGAGTTGGGCATTGAGGCCGCACAGGCACTGGGAATATGCGAGTTGAAGGAAGAGATGAGGTGGCGAAGCAGGCGCTACCTCTTCAGTATCACGCAATTCCGCGGACTCCTGTATGCGCCTTCCTCCGATGAGACCGTTCTTGTCGCCGGGTAGCAAAAAATGAGCTGTAGATCGAATGCCTGATAAAAGCCTTGCATGCCGTCTTTCGTAAGTAAGGTCAAGGGCAACTTCTGCATCGATCCTTCCCTGGGCTACAAAATGATCATTCCGGATACATCCGTCAAGATCCGGAATCAGGGGAAGTGCGACGAGCTGCAGTACGGGATTGATGTTGTGCGCACCTCCGACAGGGCAATGAAGCCGCCAGGTGCTTTGCCTGTCAACATTGTCGTGCAAGACATGCCAACGTGCATCACTGCACCATCGTTCGATGCTTCAGGTCCGACCGTAGATGCCGGAGTCGATTTGTCGTGATGCCCTGCAGGGATGTCCTATTTCATGTTGGCGATGCTGCGGCTACGGGCGCTCTGTGTGCCGGACGAGCAGCAGCGGCGCGACATCCAGCAGAGCCTGGAGGAGCGCGGTCGGTGTGATGTTCCCTGCCCGATCTGCCCTGCGCGAGCTGGGTCTCTTGACTCTGTCATGATACTGCTTCGCCTGGCAGGAACTCTTGGAGGAGGCTCGCGATTTTACCAGAACAACCCTGGTAAACCGATGCTTCGGGCTGGGGGACCTGGATTCCCATCCAAACGACCTCATTCTGGTCCAGCGCCGAACCACCACCCCGCCGCGATTGCCCGCTGGCGCGGTCATAGTCGGGCCCTGCCAGGATGAGGCGCCACATTAGATGGGCGTTGGTGGCACAGGCTAGGTTGGATCTTTTGGTGTTCTCGTGTTCGAAGGAGCCAACCAGCCTCGAGCCCTTTCGGCGGGAGTGTCCTGGGACCTCCGCTGAGCTGAGTTGGAGGAGGGGCACCAGGGCATCCCTGGCTTGCGGCCTCACTTCATACTGCTCGAGACGAGCCAAGCACAGACAGGGAACGCGCAACCTGCTCCTGTCGGGAGCTCAGTCCCGAAACGAGCGGTGGCAATCTTGTACCACCTCGTCGAACCTTCGGGGCTTTTCGCCGCGCAAGCATGCGTTAAGTTGAGGCGTGTAGGGCACCTCGAAGGCAAAATGCGGTGTGTATGCGTGTCGTGCTGAGGCCCGACCGTGCTGCCACCCTCGTCGCCTGTTGCGAGACCACCTCGACGTTGGAGCCGAGACAAGTCTATGTGGTTCGTGGTGGTGTGGCACTTCAGGGCAGACTTGTGGCGGCTCGTATGAATGACTTTGAAGTGGGTGGAAGAGTAGGCCTCGTTCCGTAAGCAAAGCGTCACTGCCGAGGCTTGGCGGTACCCCTGCTACACCATCACGGATCTGCAGATTTATGAGGCGGTCCTGCCTCCTCCCTTCGTCGCTGTGGCTGATAACGCCATCACCTACAGTGACAAGGGACACGGCAACACCCTCATGGCAGGTGTGGGCGTGTAACAGTCCAATTCTTTGCGATACCTGCACACATACACACACACACACCCAACTGTGCCTCCGAGCACTGCTGCTGTGCCACTGAAGGAGGAGACCTTGACGGAGACCACGTCATGGTTGCCTTCTGGTGTAAGTTGGTCGACATCATGGAGCGAACGCAGTCCTGCGTCGCGCGCCTCGATGCGCTGCTACAGCTCTATGAGCAGGATGTGCTATCAGCTGTAGTCCCTGGGTGCACGGCCTGGGAAAGTGCAGTGGTTCCGCAACGAGGCCATTCGTTGAAGACATCCGATCTAGCGGTGACAGGAGCTTCGTACAGCACTGTCCTGTAAGGCCAACAACTGGTGAAGTTCGCCTCGGGGGCAAGCTCCTACAACGCCCGGGGGCACATCTGTGGCCTACACGAGCGTTTCCTTGCCCGGGCTCTTGAATCCAGCAGCTCGACGCAGCGAGTGTCAGCTGGGCATGTGTCCCGTTGTGAGCACAAGTGCCTGTTACCAGGTGAGATGGACGAGAACGTCCATGTCGCGCTTCGCTTTGCGTACATTGGCCACAATGCGCCATGGCAGAAGCCCCGATTCGGTCCATGTGAATGTCGCCGGCCATGTTGTATCGGATTCGAGTGATATGGCACTGTATGCTGATGCTAATGCCTAGTGGCCTGAAACTCCTTTGATGTTGCGTGTGCACCTGATTTCGTCGGTTCTGTATTAGTAGAGCCGAGCGTGGATCGAGGTAATGGACGTCCCCAACAAGTGGCCGCTGAAGAAGTTCCTGGAGACGATCCGCAAATTTCTGAAAAGGCATCGGCTGGCCAGGACGGGATTGCAGCACGGGTCTGTCACGTTTCCGTGTCTAGCTCCGTTCATCTGAATTTGCTGCTCGCGAGGCGAGGAACAGACCGGATCGCTCAAACGCTGCTGCCACACTTCCAGTTGCCCTTCATGCCTCAGTCGAGGTTGGAGGCGTTGTCCAATGTGGCAGCTTGGCCTACAGCGAGAGGTCGTAGCAGACGTCACATGATATCTGCGTCCCGAAACACGGGCTGTAGCCCCCCGCCTTAGTGGAGTGGGACCGAGGCGCAGAGGTTGCTGGATGCCAACGACGTGATGGGACGCGTCTGGCTGCCTCCGGGCCAGCACATCCTCGGGGCAGAGGCCGCTCGTCTCCTTCGCCCTCATCTCCTGGGGTCGGGAGTGCGGCCACACGACAGGAGGCCGGGCTCGCCCTGTCCAGAGTGATGTCACGAATATATGCTGGAGGTACAAAACCGTCAGCGTGGTGCAGGAGGCTGCAGGCTACTTGCGCCACGTGGCCAAATCCCATCTCAAACATAATCGGCCCAGCAAGTGGCGACGGATGCCACGGGAAGAGTTGGAGCGCGCCTTCACTCGCAGACGGCAGTCCTCGGTCGGGTCGCTTGGCTTGAAACACAGGCGTTCGTTTGTTGGGTCAGAACATCAGTGCTGCGAAACGCTGACTCGCAGGAGCCTGGTCTACCTGCATCAGTCGCCGCTCCCGTGAATGCTCTTTCGGCGCATGAACTGAAAAGGTGTGAAGTTTCTCATGTCCCGGATTTTGGAGATATTTTTCTTCTTACTGAATGTTAATACCTCAATCTGGCAGATAACAAACATTCGAAGAATGAATATGACCGAAATTTGATTTCCGGTGCCTGGCTGACCTTACTGCGAAGCCTGATATGACCTAATTTGCGGTCTGGTCTCCTTCACGAACGCCCGGAGCCCGTGTTTTGCCGGGAGATGGGAACCCTTATAGGGACTGGGGTGCGCAACCACTATCCTTGTAGTGGGCTCTGAGCATTGTTTGGACGCCAGCACGGCCGATTATCATCTTGTAGAAGCTTTCTGCTCCATATATAGAAACCAGTGCATCGAACTAGCACCCTCGCTTGGACAGCCCCAATTCTCAGACCCGAGCCCCCACGTTAAGATAGGGAGAAAGAGAGAGAGGGAAAAGAGAAAGAGAGAAAGGGAGATGTAGAGGTATAACCCCCAAGGGGGGGTGCGGTTGGGAAATGCTCCTTTGACTTGTGCCTCAAGAGAGAGGGAGAGGGAGAGAGAGAGTGAGAGAGAGAGAGGTTGTGCCCTCAGGCAGAGAGAGAGAAAGAGATAGAGGGAGAGAGAGCGCAGGAAATAAAGAGGGAGAGAGGAGGCTCAGGACCGCGTGGAGTTTCGATCGGGTACTTTCAGTATTGCTGCTACTACTACTACTGCTGTTGCGACGACCGCCTTTACGACTACTACTGCTGCTACTACTACTACTACTACCACCACTATTACTCCTAGTACCAATATGTCTACTATTACTACGACTACTATTGCTACCTCGAAGCACACACACACAGATTACGTTGGACACGGTAAGGTTTTTGTCTTGGCAAATGTCACGGTAATGGCTCGCAGGGGCTTGTGGTAAGGTTTTTGTCTTGGC